GTGTAGTGAACTTCCCTTAATCTATAAAAGGCCAAAAATATGTATACAGTGCTTCTTTTATTATCTTGGCTAATTTTCATTTCACAATTGCAAAACGATATTGCATTCTTCCAGATTCTGCTGGAGAAGCTATTAATGACAGTTTGTTTGGGAATCTGCAAGCAAAGCTTATCAGACTGTGCTATTCAAAAGAGCAAATGTATAACCTGATGAGCAGTACTGAAGTAATCACCACACTGAAAAGCAGCAGCTACATACACTGGTACAACTTCTCAGACAAACTGGAAAAATCTTCCATGATCTCTATCTTCTTAACTTTCATCTGAAAGCCAAATTAACCTTAAAATAGCTGCACTGAACAGATTCTTCACTTAATCCTTCTTGAATTCACTTAAATATTCAGAAGAGCTGCCATTATTAAATAACCATTAAGTCTAAAGTATTCAAAATAAGACAAAATACTTCCATATAAAAAGCATGTCCCATTTACACTTTCAAAACCATCTAAACCAGTATTGGATTTTGATAGCACAGACATATTTACTGATCTGAAACACCAATAAACTCCACATGCTTTGTAGTGATTATTTACATTCTTTTCCACCATTACCTTCCCTTGCTCCTCACAGAACTTGCTCTCAAAAAGCAATGGAGTATATTCTCAAAAGAGATGGATCTTGCTGAGAAGGCACAATACGCCAAACTTGCTATTTTCCTCTGAGTAAATTCAATTTGCACCCTAAGAATCAAAACTAATCCTACTAGGAATCTGGAAGGGCAAGATTAGAATTAGAGTTTATCCAAGAATTGAATATTAAAAGGCTGTTTGAACTGCAACTGGCTACCACCTGAGCAAAATCTTTGATCCTGCACACAGCCGAACCTAAACCTTCATTTGTTTGACCTATGTTCTGTAGGCCACAAGATGCCAGCAACAGCACTCATAAAATTTCATCTGAAGCCTGCTGAAAACCTAATTGTTATTCTGAATCTTCTGTTCAGAACAACCCTGGCTCATCATCATCAGCTGATCACAATACTAACTCTTATTTTAAAAGCAAGTAAAAGGTGAAGATAATAAGTACTTTACATTTAATTTAATCGCTTCAGAGAATTACCATTAACTAACTTTAAGAACACTAAACACTGAACTGATAATGATTAGTCAGACTGTGAAAGAACTCTGAACCCAATTACTTCTGCACTACCTGAGCACAGAGACACATAACATGGCACAAGGCATCATTACCCTGTAATGCAACTTTGTTCATAAGCAGCACTACAAAATATACACCTGACATGCTACTGTGTAAGTGTTCTTCTGAAGAACTAGCTTTCTACACCTCTGAAGATACCAATGGAAAATGTGTAAAACTTGCAAGAAGAAACTGGAGAATGACATCATGATATGCGATGTACAATGCACTACAAGCCTTAAAATAAAACTCTAATTAGAAACATGCATAAATTTGAGCTCTTCAGTCACCACACAAACCATCGTGTCCACAAAAATAATTCAATTTTGGACAACTTGAAAAAAGCCTGACTAACTACACTGATAATTTATACATGAAGGCAAAGTAAGTGACAAGAGGTTGCAGTGCCAGAACATCTACCCAGTATCTAAAGCAGTATTTTCCCTTATGGGTCCATCTTTCATTGGCAGGCACCCCCTGCACTACAAAATACATTATCTTTTGTGTTTTGAATATATTTCAGTATCTTACTGTATCACATTAAAAAATAAAAGTATGTTTAATAAAATAGTGTTAGAAAGGTAAGTAGGACTATTTCCTTTAAGAGCTGTTAACCTTACCTGAATACCCCATAAGAGGGGTATGGCTTCTGCAAATAGATCTACTACAAGAGACGGGTGTTTTTGCTACACATGTGCTATTCAGGCCTCGCACAGAAGAGCTTGAGACATTCAATGTGCTAGCATTCTCTACACAAGAACTCCTGTCCCCAAAATATGATTCTGGGGGAAGGGGGGAAGAAAAAAAACTTGTGAAAAAGACACATTAAGTTGTATATCATTCAGCTGAAAAAAAACCAACCCAACACTGAATCAGTTTTTATTCAGAAAACAATATGTAAATATACAACTTAGAAAATTTCATTTTTCTTACTAAGAGATATCCAAACAACCTTTAATGGCATTCTATAAAAACTCTCCCAAAGGATAAAATGAAATAAAAATCAGTCTCTCTTGAAACAAGCTTGTATCAAATTGGCTATTTTCCACAACATTACTTGAAGCACCAATACAAGTCTTTGATTACACTACTGAAACACTACAACAGAAGTCACTTTACAATGTATAATTTCATATTCTAATTAATTCTTCATTTGTGAAAGAATGCTATACATCGGCTCTATTTTGCACTTGCCTATGTTTTAAAATCTGTATCTGAAACTGCACAGGTTTGGTTTTTTTTTTTTTAAGTTGAGGACAAAAGAAAATCAAGAATCATCCTCAAGAACTCATCCAGATGAGAATTTTCTTCCTTTGCATGTATGGGATTCAACTCTCAGAAATCATACAATAACCTGGGATGTGTTATCCGTTATCCACAGTTTCTTTTATACATGTATCTCAAGCTTTATCTACATTTTTAAGTGCAGTAGAATTTATTTTTCTCAGACCATTCTCTAGTTTCAATAAATTATTTAAAGTATTTTACTTATTTTCTGTTCTCTGACTGAAACATTATATCCTTAATCTAATTTGGATAATTGCTTTTTAAGATAAAAAATAAATGAAAATATAAACAGTTTTTCCACTTAAAACTTACAACATTACAGGTAATGAGACATGCAAACCCAAATGTTTCTGTTCCTTCTTACGTTAAAAACTGATCTACAAGACAAAATACTTGAGTATTGTTCTCACATGACCCATTAACTGTGTGACATTTTCTCATGGTTGGTACAAAAATATTTACAGCACTGGGGTTTTGGGGGTGTGTGGTGGTGTTTGGTTTTTTAAAATCTTACAAAACTGTGACAGCTGAAAAAAAAAACCATTATTAGTTCAGACCGAAATATATTTTTTTTTTAAGACTGGCCCAATCAGCATTGCAATGCATAGAGATGATTTTTAAAAATAGCATTCACTTAGATTTTGGTTTAAGTTCACTCAGAAGTTTGGCAGGAGAGACTTTTCTGTTACCTTAAGAGTGTACAGAACTTGGCAATAACATGGGGAAAAATGTAATTTTAAAGACCAGATGAACCAAACCATCTATATTTTTTAAAAACAACATTTAACGGTAACTTATGCCCTACTCAAATCAGCATTCTATGTTTCGTTTGGTTGTTGTTTGGGTTTTTTTAGGATGACTGATCATGTAAATTACTCAAAACCACGTTACCTTCTTTCCCAATTCATACATAATGGACATGTGTGTACTTCAGAATGCATTTCAGCAAGTGTTCAAAGAATTTCCAATTCTTTTACAGTTTTTCCCAGTGAAAAAAAATTGTATTTGAATTGTTCAGCCTGCCAAGATACAGACTTTGACAGTGGGATCAAGTCTGATGAACCAACAAACGAAACCCAAACCCGTAACCAACTGAATGTGGTTCGGCCTCTAGCACACCTGTGTTGCAACTCAAACCAGTCTGACTCCTGCAGGGAACTCGGTTACTGCTATCTAAAAAGCTTGCACAAAGAAAGTAGTAGTTATTTAGAGAAGCACGAGGAACGACTACCGCTCTGGTAGTTGCTCTGTTGTTGCTCTGACGAAGAGCTGCTACTGCCCCTTCCCAGTACAAGCACCGCTTGTGACAGCTCCTTCGAAGGCCGGAGGGGGGCAGGAGGGTTAAAAAAAAAGGGGTGAAGACCCGGACAGCAATGGCAACGCCGCGCCCCACCTCCTCTTCCGGGAACCGGCGGCCGCTCCCTGCTCCCACCGGCAGCCCGGCCGGGAGCGAGCCCTTCCCGCCGCCTCCCTCAAAATGGCGGCACCCGCCGCCCCCCCCGCGCCTGCGCCCCCTTAAACACAGGCGGGGGCCAGGAGCGGCGGGCGGCCTCGTGCTAAATGCGACAGCGTCTGCTCTTTCAAACAGCAGTAACGCACTTAAACAGCGATCGTCTCACCTTCATTCTTCAACATTCAGAAACTTCTAGCATGGGTTCACAGATGTTTCCCTCCTGCTCAAGAGTTTAGATGCAAAAAACCCCCATTAAAGCCCTAAAGCTTGTTTACATCTAGAGTTGTGTCCTTCTGGGCATGGTTTACAACACTAACACGGTGTATTACCATGGAACACACATCACTAAAACTCACAATATCTTGACAACATTTTGATTCTGGATTTTAACACATCTGCATGAGAAAACACTCTGAACTGAAGCCAGGCCTTACCAGGCCACAACTCTTTGTGGACAGGTGCAGTCTGGTGGCTGTTCAGCTTCACAGGAGTCTTACCCTGTTGCAGCTCCTCAGCTGGCATCCGGACTGCATCGCCCCCGCCTCCTAGTTCAGGGCAGGCCGGGCTCTTGGCAACGAGCTTTACAACTCTGAGCATGGGAAACGTTACATGCACTGCAAAGGATGGGAGACAGGAGGTGCCAATTCCAGTTACTGTCCTGAATTCCAAGTCCTACACTGAACTTCCCATATGCATTCAGACTCCTGAGGCTGCTGTTAGACCTTCTCCTCTTCTCTGACAGAAATTCAAGTGAATGGCAAGAGAACCAGAAACAAAAGGAATGTCCATCTTCCACCTTCCTTATGGTCATGAATCGTAAGGCTGAATTTGCCTAACCAAGCTATCTCAACAAAACCAAAAGGAAACCACTTTGGAATAAAGCACACACCTCTGGACTTGACAATGTTCTTTGAGAGTTGTTGATTCACCACCCCCCCCCCCCCTTTTATTTCAACAGGAATA